TTCGATCTGAGAAGCAACATCCTTCTTTTCCAGTTGCGCCATGGAGCTTCTCCTCCGCAATATTAAGATTGTTGACCTATGCCTGATGATGTTTCCAGTGATGGAGCTGCATAATTTCGGCTAAACAAATCCGGATTAAAAATTAATGGCCTTCTATATTAGTCAATTATAACATGTTGTGTCCTGAACACTGTTATTCCGTGGTATTGTTGGTGGTGATTGACATGCAAACCACTGTTGCATTACTGACATGTGCCATCCTTGTTGTTGAGCTAGATCGCGATCGTATCCGTGATTCCGAATACAACAAATGAATGTACATAATTGTATCAACAGCACCAGACCACTCAAACACAACACATGTATTGCAATACATGAATCTGGGTTTAGATGTGGTGATTGTACAGTGTATGGTTATGCCAAGAATGAGGAAAGGGCAGGTTCAAAAAAAAATCTTGATTCAAAACTATAGTTTGATTGTGTCAGCATCATATGATGGTTGTTATGTTTGAAAGGGTTGAAAATGATAATTGAAGGAACAGTGCAGTCGATGCAAGTTTCATTTTACGTGAATACGACTGTAAATCTAATGTACATACCAGAAATAAACGGCTCCAGCTGTTGAGGAAATACACATCGTCATACCCATAATAACAATAGCTATTAGTGCCATATGGAATGCCATAAACCCATTATATGTCTTGAAAGGCCAATAGAAAAATGCTCCACAACTGAATGAGTATTTTAACTTACAGCATTGAAGTCGTAAGGAAGATCAGGCAGAGTATGCTTGAAACAAATAGAAACAGTCTGAACTGGAGCAGTAGCAAGAACTCGGCCAACTTTGGCTGATGCAGCAGTCTTGATAGCAGATTGTACCAACATTTTTGATCAATTCAATAGTCACAAATTTGGCAGAAACAGATTTGCAGCCAAGACAATAAAGGCATCCAGCCTATCACGCGATCAACTAGCTGGCACATGCTTACATAGACTGCGTTGCTATTGGCTACAGCATATCAAACTCTTTACAATGCATTCGAGTAACAGACTAAAATGTTTAATTTTAAAAGCTCATTCCAGGCTTGCATTTGAATGCAATATAATTTGCAATCCATTAATCAACTCTTGTATTGTTATAATTGAATACCCAACTTCACTTGCAGCCGTATTCGCGTAAAATGAACCACTAAACTAAAATACATAATGAACTGCCATGCTTGATTGGTGTCAAACTTACTGGATAACAACGTGCCTTTTAAACTCATTAGTCCACTGGTATTTCTCCTTCATGCTCATTACTGTACAAAATATAGAGTGAATGTTCACATCTCTGTTTCACATCCTAGACATCTTTTCAACCTTTAACTTTCTTTTTTTCAATCCAAGCATTGGGTGACCGGTATGGAAACAACTGTTGCATTCCTGAGATTGCTTTTTAAACTAGAGTGCAAACGTATCTGATATTAGAATAGAGTTTCAATAGAAAAAGTCATCAATATCCAATAACGAATATGTAATGATTGCTTATTTTGAAGCAAAATAGAGTCATTACAAGATCAATACAAAAATATTTCATTCTACATGAATACGACTGTAAAACGTACATTGGTTTGCCATACAAAAATGCCGTTTCATTTTGTGTGCGTGCATACAGTTGCATCCAGATTTTTGATGACTTGAAAGAGTCAATTGGATTTGATGTGATTATTTTCTGCAATCACAAAGCAATCAAATATGGCATATATGTCGACCGCTTTGGCTTGGTGTAATAGACATGATATGACCCAATCTAAATTTTATTAGTATATATGATATCGATTGAGTGGTGGCCGTAAATCATCAACAAGCGTGACCCCAACATCCTCTTGCTGTCTATATTTTGCTGTAACAGATGATATGTTGATGCGTCTACGCGATCTGCCTATATCAATCTGATGTTTAGGCGCGCTAGTGGGTGGAGTTGGAACTGATGCAGTCCCAGCTAATTGTGTATAAAAATTAGAATTAATGATAGAGGAAGTGAAATATAAACCATTATTGGCTACTCTAATACATAGATCAAGTGGACTATATAAAATAAATACCATTTGTTCCATTAGGACATTTACTATTTAACTCTGTTTTTTCTGTAAAGACAATTTGAGAAAGTGTATTGGAAGTAGCAGACAATAATAAATTTGCTGTCGGCATTTGACTATTTAGTAATGTCGCATTTTTGTTTTCTGAATTCGACAGTGTTGGCAATTCAACAATATTCATGCCGACCAAAGGTATCCTTTTTTCAACACATTCTGTACAAGAAGTTGATGGACTAGAAGGATGATCCACCGTAAATGATGCATCCTCAAAAGCAGCTGAATAATTTGATGTCGATGTAGACCGTGGCCGATCTTTACGTCGAGCACGAAGAAGCATAATAGGATTTCCCGTTAAAACAGTGCTTATACCTAATAAAAACACTATTGTTGAGCAAATACGCCTTTCACAATAATCATCCGTGACTACCAGCACATCTTAAGCAGGATTACCATGTGTTAGATTGCTACCAGTATCTGATACTATGACTTTACTGTGTATAGAGCCGAATCGACTTTGAGCAGTAGCGGGGCGTATTGGGACCCCATGTGGCTTATCTCCACTCTTTTCTAAAGCATTACTACACGCTTTAACAATGCACTAGGATATTCTGCTGCAAGGTTAGAACGCACACGAAGCAAAAGTGACAATTATTAGATGATAAAATTAGAGTTATCACAAGTATCCCCGCTTATTTGGTGTATGTACCTGTGTTAATGTTAAAGTTGGTTTCGTATTGAACATGCAGCTCTCCAATACTATAATCATCAAGTATTTTAAGCTGAGGGATAGTCTTTCCAATAATTTCTCTATAAGCCTGAATAGTATCTATGAATTTTCCTTTGGGATCATCCATGTTCTTATTCAATACTTTTTGAAAAAGATCCAAAGGATTTCCCTGCAAACTCAGCTCCTCAAGATTTGGACATACTGCAAGATGCTCTATCTGTTCAAGATCCGATATAAGATTACTAGCAATCAATAAGATAAAAACAATTCCTGTTAGCTTGCCAATCCTTTTATATTTGTGCATGAAAATTGGAATAGGTTCTCAGTATAAATGCCTATATAAACGGCCATATCATTGACTATTTAAAACTAAAATCTACCTTTCTAGATCCAAAATTTCCAATTCCTCTAGCATACCAATACTACTTATATCTGTAATGCGGTTATATGCTAGATACAATTCCTTAAGTGAGCGTAGCGATCCAATTCCGTCGATAAACGCAAGCTCACATCGTGGCATCCATAAAACTCGCAGATTGGTAAACCCTGTACCCAAGTCTCTGTGTATAGATTTAGTGAAACTTTGGTTTGCTATGACAATACAAGATGAATACCTAATGCATTCAACATGGCTATTGTTCAACTTGAGCTGCTCTATATTCGGAACAAACTTTCCTGGTGGTTCAATGAATTAATACATTCGACTAACCAAACCACATTTTATACACCACTAGTATAGACCAGCTACTTACCTAGTTGGCCAAGTCCAATGCTTCTGCTATCTACTTGTATTTCCAAGAACTTGACACAATTAAGATCTGTGACTCCTGTTAAAGAAATCTAATCAAAACAGACCCAAAAAATCGTCATGAACGAGTTAATAGGGAATCGGTCAATGTTGCTCTATCCTACTGCTATACTAATCACTCATGCTTGTACCAATTTTTCTTGAGAAAGATAATCGTCTAACAGATCTGTCAATTCTGTATTCAGAGGCATTGCAGAGTGGGCTAAATCCACTTCACCTAACACATTTATATTGCAGTGTAAGCATAAACTATTATGGACTAACCATCTAGATACTCAATACCATGAGTATTGTCAACAATGATGAACTAACATGAGTTGGCACTACTATGGAATTTTTTACTCTGAAAGTTCATTATACTTTCCTATTATAAATGAGCAAGGCTTTTTAAAATGACTATCAGTATTATTGTACTTATTTGTATGTTAGTGAATAACAAAGTTCATTATCCATGATATTTCGACAATACCAAACCAAAGCAGTTTCATTTCATAGAATTTACAAGGCTATAAAACATACATCTATATTAGTGTTGGTCAAGCGTATACAAACTGTACAACTTGCACGTCAACTGGTTCGCGTGTTTAGTTTATTCTTGTTCAAGTCAAAAGTAGACGGCCTTACTTGAGAAGCAGGTGAAATATGTCAGATTCTAATACATGAATGGGTACAAGGCAAACCTTTATAAAAACATTCGCTTTACCTTTATTATCAATTGATCAATAAATGCTATTAAACTCGGCCTTGGACTTATTTCTGCTCATCCTTTCAGTGACTACTTCAAATATTCAATACACGATACGAAGTCTCTGTTGCTCAAGTACGTTTTTGTTGAAAAATAAACAATAGTTATTAAATGATTTACAGTCGTATTCACGTAAAATGAAACTTGCATCGACTGCACTGTTCCTTCAATTATCATTTTCAACCCTTTCAAACATAACAACCATCATATGATGCTGACACAATCAAACTATAGTTTTGAATCAAGATTTTTTTTTGAACCTGCCCTTTCCTCATTCTTGGCATAACCATACACTGTACAATCACCACATCTAAACCCAGATTCATGTATTGCAATACATGTGTTGTGTTTGAGTGGTCTGGTGCTGTTGATACAATTATGTACATTCATTTGTTGTATTCTGAATCACGGATACGATCGCGATCTAGCTCAACAACAATGATTGCACATGTCAGTAATGCAACAGTTGTTTGCATGTCAATCACCACCAACAATACCACTGAATAACAGTGTTCATGACACTGACTGTTTATCACACATCAACACTGTTATTTAGTGGTTCATTTATGTCAATATGGCTGTAATGATCAATCAACTATTAGTATCCACTCGACTATCATCAACTCAATACATGATGTATGATTGTCTGTACACATTTGTTGTGTTCATCACCATCCAATTCAATCTCACCATTTCAATCAATCTTGGTCAATGTTGATGATTTACACGCCAATTCATTATCCAATCTTGTCTGACATTATTATTGGCTTTAATCACGTTTGGTTTGTACAACTGACATGAGTTGTACTACCATTATCATTGTGTATCTGAACACCAAATACTCCAATCCATCAATAATACCACAGTATAAATAGTAATACAGTTGATCAGTCTTGTGGCAAGACTTTTCATTCAAGTTTGTATTTGGAATACTCGATGGTTTAATCACAACACACTGTTTGTAATGCGATTGTCATTGATCTCATTTCATCTCATTCCAGTTCATTTGATTTATGATGATGTTTAGTAATCCATTACCATGTGTTGTAGTAAACTAGTTTGTTTATTAAACCAAATCTACAACGATCACATTCAGAATATTAATTTACAGTATTTCTAAATGCATGTTTGATAACAATCCAATTTTGTTACAAAAAACTGATCAAAACAATACTAAAATGGAACAACTCGTTTGTGTGTTTTACAACAATCCAAACATGAACAATTCTTGGCAATTGTTGGACATTCGCATGAATGAAATTGTCAAATCAAAATTCAACTTTACTAATTTTATCAAACATGAAGTGGATTGATATCATGAAAGAGTTGATTAAACACATGGAAGATTTGAAACTGTTAACAACGGATGCCTAACTATACAAGGCTGATGAAATATGGGACAGATTACTTGTATTGATGGAGGAGTTGAAAGAACATGATTTCTGTAAGTTTAATAGCCATTGTATTATTGATGAATTCAAACTATTGCTGACTTTGTGTTGGTTTGAAATGGCAGAGTCTACAGATGTAATGCAGCGCTTACAGAGTATTGGACTGGAAGATATCACAGCCGAGTATTTGGAGTATAATCGACCCAGTTTACAGGTATTCATATATTGTAACAATAATGGATTGTTTATGACTAAACTAATCAACATGTGTTGTGTAGATCAAAGTAATGAAGTTTACTGCAGTATTTTTGAGTATTGTACACTATGATGGTCGGTTAAAAGTATCACATCAACTAAACAATCAACTTGTACAACTCATGCAATCGCCAAGCCATCAAGTCAAAATGATGGCAAGTCATGATTGATATTGATCAAATGATTGACATTTAACTCATCTGGTATTAATATGCATATAGGCGATAAAAGCATGTACAGAGCTGTACAAATATAAACGCTGGAGTAAAGAGTGTAAACTTGACATCAAGCCAATGGTTGAGATTATTGTTCACGAGTCCAATCAAGAAATGCTCAGATTGGCAATTGGCCTGTTCTCGAAAGTTTACCATAGTATTGACGATGAAAACGTATGTTTACAATGATACAATATTGGATCAGTTTGGACAGTGTCTTGTCTTGTTGATCTGATTGTATACTTGACATTGAACAATATCATTAGTTTGGCATCGTGTTGTCAAGACTTGTTTCACGACTGGAATCATCCAGTGGTTCAGTTGCTGTTGGTTTTATTAGAAATCTTCAAATCATGTATTGGAATATTCATCGTGATAACCCAGTAAAAGCAGTGGAATGTGGCATCATTCCAGCAATAGTCAATACGCTCAGGTATGTGATGTTATGCATGAATGTGTGTCCAGTCATCACAATTGGTAAATTTGACATGGTTGGATTGACATGACATGAATACAGGAGTGTCGATCGAAAAGTGTTTTATAAAAGTGTTATTACTATTCAGAGTTTATGCAATGTTACAGAATGTCGTGAGGTGATTTCAGCCGAGTTGATGAGGCTGGATTTGATTCAAACACTTAGCGACTTGTGTATCAGATACAGCGACAACTCTAGACTAAAAACACGCATAATCAACATGGCGGGATCAGTTGCATCCAATATGCGTAACTTTCCTGTATCGCTTGTACGATCGTTGGTTTTTGAGCAATTGACGATATCGATGTGTGATGTCGATATGTATGACTATCTGCGCCTGTTTGGATATGTCAACGACATGATTCAAAAATCTACAAACAAGGACGAGATGATCAAGGTGTTCCAAGAATATGGAATTGTGAAGCAACTCAACACTATTCTCCCACATCCAGATATACGTTTATATGAAAATCCTGTCCCTGGTATTGTAAAACTACTCAAAACACTTGCTGATTTTGCCGACAATCATTCCGACAGTTCAATACGTACCGAGTTGGAACAAGGCGGGATGTTTGAAAATCTAACGGCTATTGTACAATCGGACACTGCTGAATACAGAAACAAAAATATTGCTGAACAGATCATTGAAACGTGTTTCCAGTATCGGGTTCATGTTGCTAGTTCGGAAATTCAGCCATACAACGACAATGCCAAAATTGGTACGAGTTCTGGAATGGCCGGAGATACACATGGAAATGCACGCACACTTGTCGAGATGCGGTATATTCAATATCTGCAATATATACTTTGCAAATCCATGTGGTGGATCGATATCACAAACCAGCATATTGTGGAGCAATGGAGGACTGACTCACTCGGTCAGAATATATCACCATCAACATTTAATCTTGCATTGGAACAACTCGGGT